TTAATTATTTTGAAAAATGAAAGCCATTTCAGGTAGCCTAGTATGGGATAGAAACCCTGGATATTACCAGTATCAATCACTAGCACACGTTGTAAATGAAAGCATGAAATTCAGGACTAAGCAGGGCCCCCTTTTCAGTGCAAAATCTAAAGCTCCATGCTATCTGGGCCAGATTTATAAGGGAAAGCAGTGCCTTAATGAACCTAATCCTATTAAGAGAATTGTCAACTTAGGTTTGTCATCAGAAATATGTTTTTAGCCATGAGACATTTGATCTGTGGACAACTTTTTCATCTTCGGAGTATTCAATGCATCACCTCCACACAAAACATTTTTTAAAAATGGTATGAATATGTACATAAATATTTTAATTTAAAAAATGACACCAAACTCTTTTATTCACTTACTGCCTTTTTCCTGAACTGGGATCCAGTAATCAATTAACTTCTGCAAGGTCTAAAGACTGGAGCTTGAGGAGATGGTGCCTGTGATGCAGAAGAGGAACATCTGACCACAGGTCCATCCAACCTGTCCAAAGACCTCGTCTGCAGCACAGCAACCTCTCCCCATGGGCCCCACCACCCCTTTCACATCACTGACTGCACATAGATCCACCATGTCACCTCAAATGCCACTACTCTCTGTCAGAGCATTGTCACATCAGTACCGTTCTGTCCCAGTGCTGGGGGTTGTGTTGTGATGCATGAACTTCTAGCACCTCGGCAAGGGGCTGCGTCATCTGCTCCACGCAGGTGGATCCCTTCCCCTAGTCAAAGCACTTCGGTGGGCACTGCTCTACAAGATTCTCAGCTACTGAAGAGCAGGATGTTTTTTGTTCACCGATATTTATAGCTGCAATCAGGTGTCTTTTCAATAACAAGTGCTGCTGAAGACATTAAAGAGCATCTCGCCATGAAAGGGACATGTAGTCATGTAATCTCAAGCAGCTCTTGCTCTACTGTGCTGTGATGAGAATATTGTCAAGACTTGATTTAATGAATAGTGCCATTCCAGAATTAAAGGATTTTTCACTTGCACGCAGCCATTGCATAAGCTCTAGCTGTGCCGCGGGGGATGCATATCGACCAGGCAGAAAGGGAAACCTGTCTCAGGAGAAGCTCTTCGCTGCGTACAGGCGTTAAATAAGTTTCTGAAAACAAGCATTTGCTAAGCTTGAAGAATCCTTCTGCTGATCTAAATGTTTTCTTAATAGGTCAGAGTGAAACAGCTGTGAAAAATGCTGTGGAAAAACGGAGTCACAATGTGGGTATCGGGAGGCGGCGGGATCAGGATTGCCCCCCGAGCGGGTCCCGGCTGGGGCCACGGGGACCCACAAGCTGTGCCCTCACCCGCAGGCACAGCCCCACGGGCTCTGAACGCAGCCGGAAGAGCTGGGCTGGCAGCAGGGCCCAGCGACGGCCCAGGGACCGTCAGGGAAGGCAAAGCTTGGGCCATCCTGAAAACCAGTCAACAAGCCAGCTCAGCCCGGCGCCCGCCTCGGCGCAGGCACAGGTGTGACGCGTCCTAGGGCAGGGCTGGGGGCCTGCGCGTGCTGAAAGGGGGGTTCTGGGCCCTGGGGGCAAGGGGGCTCCCACTGAAGCCGGTTTGGGCAATGACATGACAGTGCCCACGAGGCCCTGACAGCTGGGGCGTCAAGCGGCCGCCACAGACCCCCCCGGCGATCCCTGTGCAGGGTCGGCACGAAAGGGTGTTTGTGGGGAAGAAGGCCAGTGGTTCCAACCCGCGGCTCCTCGTACTTACTTGTGAGGTACCTGCAGCCCTTGGAGGGCACAGGACAGCGTGGGGCTGCTGCATTGCTTGCCAAAAGTCCCACTTGCAGGTCAGGGCGAGGTGAACTCTGGTTTTGTACGTAGCTGGTGCATTTTAGGCGATGAGTCACGGGATCATGTCTGGATTCACTTACCTCAGGGTCTCTGTGCATAGGCATAGGCAGGCCTTCTGACAGGCTGAGTTAGACATCAGGAAAGCCGTACATCACGCAGCGATGCTGGGAATGAGTTTGGCTCCCCTGTGGGTTAGTCTGTGAGCTTTGAACCCTTCTGTCTACAGTCAGACTTCATCTAAACAGACGTTTAGGCTGTCTGTTTCCTGTAGTATATTGCACCTGTAGCAAAAGGGATCTGAGTCTGACTACATCAGGTGCATAATCAGGGTCAAAGAATATTGCCAGGCACTCCGTCGCCGATGCTGTTGAATTGTCAGATCGTGTCTGACCCAGTTTTGGCCTGGGCACTCTCCCAAGCAGTTCCCAGGGCCGGTGTGGGAGTTAGGGCAGGCATTCCCAACAGGCAGTTAGATGGGGCCACCCTGTTTGGTAGGGCGAGAGAGTTCAATAGCATCGCACTGGGTTGTTCCAGGCCAGCTGGCCTTGGGGCAAGCGACCAGTGCCAGGCATATTTAATTTACTAGCAGAGATGTTGCTTCTATGTTCTCAGAGATCCCAGAAGGGTGGCTGAACACTTGCAGAGCCTGGAGACTATGGAGATTAAAGTCATCAGGAGAGAGGCCATCCAGTCCGGTGCAAGCTTGCCAGGGTCCAGAGGGGTTTGTTCGAGCCCATGGCCCCAGCTGTCCTGTCCATGAGGTCTGCCTATTTTGGGTGCTCTCTGTAGTCCAAGCTGAGTGTATTCTGATGCCTCTGTCACCATCAGAGCCATGACTGGTCTTGGGCAAGTAACCGTCCCCACGTGTGCGCATGCTGGGCCGGTAGGGATCTGCACACCCTGCCTACACTCTGAATCCAAGCTGCTGTCTGTCTGAAACTAACAGCCACGATGCGTCTCCAGCATTACATTTCTGATCCTGGCTTTCAGAAGTGAGTGTCTGGAGCTTCAGGCTCACTGTGCATTTGGACACTTGCAGCATTAGCCTGACTTTAAGAACATCCTGTGGGAAAATCTTCTAGTTCCTCCTTGTGAGAAAACAAGCTTTCACTTTTTTCCACTAGACTTAAAAAAAATCCCAACAGGTAGGACCAGAAATGTAATCCTACACTTCCATTTGAAAGCAAAGTAACAGAACCAGATCTGTCAAATTTTAGAAGAAAGAGAAGAGGCCATACACATCTTATGTGCTTCTTGGCTTGTGTTGAGTGACCCTACCCTATTGAAGCTCATACTAAGTCTATGCAAGAACAGGCTAAATGCCAAATGAGTGCAGGTGACTTGGGCAGAATTGCACTGCTTTAAACTACATCTGAACACGTTCTTATTTGGTCAGAGAACACTTTGAACCCCCTGTGTTGTGCATCACATCTCAGACTTCAGTAGGACGGGGGGTTTTGGTGCAAGAACGTGCCAAACAGCTGTTCACATCACCAAAATGGCCTTTGTGTGTGCTGTATGGGCACCTCTCCATACAATACACAGTAGTGTGCAGTGACGACGTCTTAAATTATAAATAGTTCTAAAGAAAATAACATGTGTGATTGTCTGCTTAGTGGGACTTTTTCAGTAATTAACCCAGCATCTTTTTTTATCATCCTCTACTGCTACTTGGGATAATTCCGGAAGGGCTAACTCCTCCAACAGCCAGCACTTGCAAATTAAAACTTAACGCATTTTTTCCAGATACATAATCAATAAAGAATACTTCTGCTAACTGGGATATTGTTTCTAGCTCACACAGATCCTTACCCAAAGGGGTCAAGAGACGTCCTCGCCCATTTTAGCCACATGGTAGTAATGATCATGACACACCTCTCGATATTTTCATATGGGGAGAAATCAGGTTAAAGGAAAGTACAGTTATTGCAAACATAAAGCTGTGCAAATATATGTAACAGTAAATAGTGGCTATGCAGTCAAGCATCCCAGATTGCCTGCCCTTGCTAAGGCCTGAAACTACACAGACATTGCTCATATATGTCCTTCCATTGATTCTTGCATTCATTCCTTCATGCAAACCCAAGACCCCTCTCACTCTCAGAAAACACCTCCTGCTGACAGCATTGCTGCTTATTCATATCAGGCCTTTGCTGCTGTCATGCTTCATTTTGGAGATGTAATGAGGCATTAATGCTTATCTTTGATGTGTGAACTGTGTCAAAATATCCTGTTCTTCCGAGCTCTGGATCCATCAGAATCCACCATAAAATGTGAACAAAATAGCCATTGTTTGAAAAATTGACATAGCCCCACTGATAGAGCGTTTCAGTGGGCAGGCAGGAAGCAAGTGTGTGTAGCACTTACTGCATCTCAGCCCTTTTAATTGCTTAACCAGTTCCTTCTCCCGTCTCCTTTTGCTTTCTCAGACTCACACCCAACCTCCATCCTCTCTTTTGTTGTCTAAGTCCTCCTATTACCCCACTTACCAGCACTGCAACACTGCTCTGATTATGTGCCAGGCAGCCCCTGCCCTTCATCACGACTCAGGGATGCCAACCAAAGACCTAGATATAGTTTAGACACTGTTTGGGGAACACAGAGATCTTTTTTCCAGTAATTCTTTCCGAAGTGTAATGCATCTTTCTTCAGGAAGGCTTCAGTTTAGTGCTGATACCTAAAAATACCCACCAACAAAGGAACAGGGGAATGGTAGCCAGAGAGTTTTTCTGAAGCTATTGCCTCACCGACCAAATCGCACAACAGAGGACAGCCTAGGCACTATATTGCAACATGTCTTTGGTGGATACAAACAACTTGTAGTGGATTTCCTGCAGTATGAGCATGTTACCACAGTTAACACATACGGCAAAGCCTTCTAAAATGGCAAGTGACACTGAAGGCTTCAATTCTGACACTACTGAAACCCTTCAAAATATAATTGACATCATCTGAAAAGTCTTAGCGCTTGTATGGGAGCTGAGCCCCTGAATTCAAAAATTGCATCTAAAAACTTTGACTGAAAAATCTGTGCATATGTTTTGTCCACCTCTCAAAAAAAAGCAACCAAACGAACAAAAAAGAGACTCATCAGTAGATCCTGGGGTAGCAGAAATACTCACATGCACTGTTTTTATTTTCTGCTTTTTGCATCAGAGTGAATTGGATGAGAATCAAATACAGATGGCTGGAGATGATGTGGATTTGCCAGAAGACCTCCGGAAGATGGTGGCAGAAGATCAGGTGGAGGAAGAGGACAAGGACTCTATCCTGGGACAGCTGCAGAACATCCAGAATATGGACATGGATGCGATCAAAGAAAAGGCACAAGCCACCTTCAACGAAATGAAACAGGCTGCTGAGCAGAAATGTTCAGTGATGTAGAAGAGACACCACTGTCCAAGGGTTGTGGATTCAGTCTTGTCTCACAGGGGCTGCAGAGTGAGGGCAGGCAGAGGAATGCACTTAGCTGTATAGCATTAAATGTAAATATAGAAAAGAGAGAGAGAGAGACACTTTCAAACCCCAAGGAGGGGCAAAATTTACATGCCATGATTGCTTAGTGTGAAGCTAGAACTGATCCTCATTTTTTAACATAACATTTTTCCCCGTGGAAAAAAATGGCTTTAAAAAAGCTAATACTGGGGAAAAAATGTGCCTTTCTCCATTTTTTCAAAGAAGTGATCAAAATGCTATTAAATGTGCATTTTTTAGCAAAATTGTTCTTCTGATGCATAACATATAGGTAAGCAGTCATTTGATACGGCTTTCAGAAATAAATACATATATTTCTAATAAAAACATGTCTGTTTCAAACATTTTGAAACAAACCCATTATTCAAATGATGACAATTTCTGCGAAAACTTTAAAAAAAAAAGGTTTTGACCATCTCTGTACTAAATCTAGCAAAAGGCAAAAAGTGAAGCATCTGACTCTACAGCTTGGGACAAAAATGTCATCATATATAGAACTGAGCGGGTACTTGTCTGAAACCAAGGCTTGGTAGCTATCAGTAAACCCTGGTCAGTCAGCAACGCAGACTTCTCCAGGCTGCTTTACTTTCACAGCCTTTTGGTCTTCAAATGCAGTTCAACCATCGAGTGACAGCAGTGGCCCTCTGCTCGGCTGCTATGTGTGCCAAATCCTGGCGCTTGGGGTACCAGCAAATAGGCTGGTATATAGCTGTATAGGCTAAGATGAGCTCACCACATTTATTCTAGGAGTTAGCTCCATACAAGGCTAAACATAAATCTGTCCCACCTGGAAGATTATGCTGGGGTAGGGCACCTACACCCTGAGAAAAAGCATGGCTGTCACTGGTGCTATACTGACTGAGCCTATGGGACAGGCAGGATCCAGATCCAGTGCTTTTAGACTCAGGACCGAGCAAGATTTTCTTTGCTGTCATTCAGAGTCTTTTTCTGGGGAAAACCTAAGTAGGTGCGGGCCTGATTGCCCCCTGGTCCCCAACCAGCAGGGCTGATGCTGGCTAGGAGTTGGAGGAGCGCGGCCCCATGCGGGGCAGCTGGCTGGTTGAGGGATGGCTACTCACCGCAGCCTGCAGCGCTGCCGGGGCCGCCAGCCCGGGCAGGCAGGGATGGGGCCAGCTGCAGTAATCCCCACCGGCCCTGGGGAGCAGGGTCTTGTGGTTAAGGCAGATGGGAGCATCGGTCTGTTTCTGCACTTGCGTCGCCACAGTAGTTGTTGTGCGCGATAACCCGCACAAAAGCTGTACAGCCCTTGCACATGGATGATGTATACAACGCTACTCCCGAAGGGCTCAGGTATTCTATACAACGAAGGTCTTTGTACGTTCTCCAAGAGCTAGCTTGTGAATGAGATTTGCAAACGAATACCTTCCTACAGGTTTATAAGCCTCTCTTTCTCTCTCTGTCTCCAGCCAATTAAGTTAAAATATTTATTTTAAATGAATAAATGCATTAAGTATGGTTTGTCTCCTTTCTTTTCTTCCTTCCTTCCCGCCTCCCTCCCGCCTTCCTTTTCTCTTTCTGTCTTTTGTCTCTTTCTTTTCTCCATTTCTCCTCTCCTCTCCTCTCCTCAATCCTGGCCTCAGGTACTGGTCTGTGAAGTGCAAAAGACCGAGTTACAGTGCGCTCCAGATGTGAAACCCACTCAGTTCCGAGCCCCTTTGCCGGGGCTGGGTCACGTCCTGCAGCCCCACCGGTGGGTGGCGGCCCTGCCAAGGCCCAGGGAGCTCCCCCGCTTTGCTGAGGGAAGCTGGGCGACCCAGCGGACCGGCTTTCCGGAAGGTCCCGTCTCCAACAGGGAGGATCCGCTGCGAGCTGCAGAAAGCAGCTGGGGTCCCCAGCATTAGGTACAGGAAGAACACCTGCCTTTGTACCCGATGACGTAAATTGTGCCTTGTAAACGCCTTTATTGCCTCCATTA